TGTATTTGAATCATTTCCAAAAGATGTTTGATCTGTAATAATCATAATAATAATCCATAGACACTTTACAACTTCCTGTGGTTAGGTATTTCAGAACGTCACAAATAAACTGTTATAAAGTACTTCCTTTTCTTCAGTTTTATTCTTCATGTAGCAATATAAACATATTATTTTGCCATAAAGTTTTATAGTTGTGTCTCCCATCTTCCTAGTCATCTTATTCTCAGTTTGGGTGCAGTGCTTGGTATATTTTTTTGTGTTTAAAAGTTATCACCACCGCTATGTAACCATCCCCAATGCTCATAATGATTGGAATTAATAAATTGTCTGGTAAGAATAATGGACTTGGAGTCTAAAAATCAAGATGTGTTCCGGCTTAAGATGGTTCCTATAATATAGTGGGTGTTTGGTGAATATTTTTTCTCTTCGGTCTTTTTCTTTGTGAAGCTGGGTGATTTACTGACTCTGAGCCTCAGTTTCCTTAACTATGAAATGTGAGAAGAAAACACTTTCTGGGATGATACGGATATTGAAGACTCTAACCCTATGAAACATTATATAATTATAAATTATTATAGGGAAATGAGAATTCAAAAATATAAGAAAAACGTCTCCAAATGGCACTACTAATTAAAAGATCAGACAGTCAACATTTGCCATTGTCTTTTCTCCACCCACATCTAGATTTTGAAGTGAGTGTGTTTACTCAACAAACAGAGAACTCTGGGTCTATACTGTAGACCAGCCTCTCTTGATTCAGGTCAATATGGCATTTCAGCAGTGACGCCCAGCGAATTGCAAATGAGGGTCCTGACTTGTGCTGAAATTTGCATTGGAGTTGTTTCAGAACAGGCAAACAAACAAACAAAATTTTTAAATGTGCATCATTAGAAGTAATAACAAATTGTCAATCAAATATGGGAAATAACTTTGTCCAATCATGTAAAGAATACACAGATTTTTGTAAACAGTTTTTAAATTTAATTTTATTATTATTTTTTTTATCAGAGATTGAAAGCAGTACAGCTCTGGCTATTTTATACTATAATGTGAAGACTGAGGGGGAAAAGTCCACTTAAATAGTTATTATTTCAAGTCTCAGGAAAAAGTATTTGGCTTTAACGCTTATAAATACGTTTTAGTATTTACTTTTAGAAGTAAACTTAAAACTTTGTTTTATTGCTATTTATCTTTATTTGAGGGTGATATTTTGGCTGATCAGTAAGGTCTCTGTCCCAATTTTTCAGTTTGGTGTCATAAGGTGAAAGCAGTCATAGATGATGCATAAATGAATGGGAACCGGCTAGGATCCCATTCAACTTTGTTTACAAAACAAAAAATGGTCAGCCTACAAGCTCTAGTTTTCTCTGACTCTTATTCTTTGCTAATAAGTAAAGACCAGAAACAGCTTACTTTTACCCAGCAGTGCACAAGAGTCCTGTCCCAAGGCTATATCAGATCTCCAGCTCTCTGTCATAATCTAGTCCACAGGGAATTTGATAGTCTTGTCACACCACAGGACTTCACACTGGTCCACTGTATATTAGTGATGTAATGATGATTGGAACAAGTGAGAAGAATTCACAGGTACCTTTACGTTTCTTAAGACCTCTGCCAGAGGGTGGGAGATAAACTCCTAAGAAATCAGGGCGTGCTAACTTGGTAAAGTGCCTAGGAGTCCAGTGGTTCCAGGCGTGTCCAGTTACCCAAGGGAAAGATTAGATTTCTGCAACTTGCATCTGCAGCCACAAAGAAACAATCTCTAATGCATACTACATTTAGTCTCAGCACATTATCTGACTACCCTTAGGGTAATGAGTCATATCTTATTTGTTGGTACTTAGCACCATTTCCAATCCCTTTGATTCTCTCCCTTTCATTCATTGCAGGGACTGGATGAATGAGAACTACATTTTCCAAGTAGTTCCTTGCCAGAAGGCTTACAAATACAGTTTAGATTCAAGAGAGATAGAAGCCATTCTCTTTCGTGGCAGTGGCCGTGGACGTGTGAATTTAAGATGGGACTTTTTGCAGCAACTTCCATATTTCCTGTCCAGCCTGTCACCCCAGGGCGGCAGGGCAATGAGGATTATTGATTTCAGTCCCTTTCATCTTCCTGACTTCCGTATGAAAGCAAGAAGTTTCAGATTCAGTTTTAGTGAATCTGAAAGCTGGTGATATCTCCTCTGACTTTCACCCCTTAAATCCTTTCAAAAGTTTGTAAGTACCTATTTCTTGGTATTAAATGCCTTTAGCTTTAAATATTTAAATTGCTTTCTATTTTCTTGACTGAACCTTGACTGTGTACAGAAACAGGATCTAATTCATTTTTGCATTTTCTATAATTCTCAACAAATATTTGTTGATGGAGTGCAGCAGGATGACTGACGAGATCTTTTGTATATATAACCACATTCCAATCATTTTATTTGTCATGAAGCCCTTTCTGGCATTGTTATATTTCTCATAATGGTACAGATCATTATTGTTTGCATCTAAAGCTCAAGCTAACGAGTCTTCCCAAGGGATTAGTACAGAGTATTATCACTCACTGCCATCTGGCTGTCTGATATAAAGAAATAAACAAGATCTTAGTTGAGATAAACAGTCCTTGCTGGTTTAACATCATGTACAATTTGATCCTATGTTCTAGGGGCACTTGGGTACCATCTCTTAGTAAATAACCTCAAGAGCATAGGTAATGTAAAATAATTAGAAAATGGTGCGTTTTAAATATTTATTATCTTTTTTTCAAATAAAATCTTATTGAGATATAACTCACACACCATACAATTCATCCATTTAAAGGATAAAATTCAATGATTTTTTAGTATATTTATAGAGTTGTGCAGCCATCACCACAATCTAATTTTAGAATATTTTCAACATTCCAAAAAGAAACCCTATTACCATTAGCAGTCATCAACCCTTCCCCTGCCTCCCAGCTATAGGCAGCCACAAATCTACTTTCTGTTTCTATGGATATGCCTGTTCTGAACATTCCTAATTTCTCCACATGCTCACCAGTATCTGTTATTGTTTGTATTTTGATTATAGACACCCTAGTGGGTAAGTACCTCATTGGGGTTTTGATTTGCATTTCCTCAATGATTAATGATGTTGAAGATCTTTTCATGTGCTTATTGGCCATTTGTATATCTACTTTGGTGAAATGTCTATTCAAATCATTTATCTTTTTTTTTTTTTTTTTTCCATTTATCTTTTAATTGGTTTTTTGTTTTTATTATTATCGAGTTACAAGAGTTTTAAAAAACATATTCTGGATACAAGTCCCTAACCAGATTTATGATTTGCAAATATTTTGTCCCATTGTATGGGTCGCATTTTCACTTTCTTAGAAGTGTCCTTTGAAGCATTAAACTTTTAAATTTTGATGCAGTCTGATTTATCTACTTTCTTTCTTTTGTCATTTTTACTTTTCGTGTCGTATTTAAGAAATCATTGCCTAAGGCACAAAGATTGATCCTTATATTTTTTTTTCTAAGAGTTTTACACTTACCATCTTTCCAAATTTATCTAACTATAATTTTTATAATTTAATTTTTTTCTTTTACTTATTTATTTTAACATCTTTATTGGAGTATAATTGCTTTACAATGGTGTGTTAGTTTCTGCTTTATAACAAAGTGAATCAGTTATACATATACATATGTCCCCATATGTCTTCCCTCTTGCACCTCCCTCCCTCCCACCCTACCTATCCCACCCCTCTATGTGGTCACAAAGCACTGAGCTGATCTCCCTGTGCTATGCGGCTGCTTCCCACTAGCTATCTATTTTACGTTTGGTAGTGTATATATGTCCATGCCACTCTCTCACTTTGTCCCAGCTTACCCTTCCCCCTCCCCATATCCTCAAGTCCATTCTCTAGTAGGTCTGCATCTTTATTCCAGTCTTGCCCCTAGGTTCTTCATGACCACTTTTTTTTTTCTTTAGATTCCATATATATGTGTTAGCATTTGGTATTTGTTCTTCTCTTTCTGACTTCACTCTGAATGACAGTCTCTAGGTCCATCCACCTCACTACAAATAACTCAGTTTTGTTCCTTTTCATGGCTGAGTAATATTCCATTGCATATATGTGCCACATCTTCTTTATCCATTCATCTGTTGATGGACACTTAGGTTGCTTCCATGTCCTGGCTATTGTAAATAGAGCTGCAATGAACATTTTTTTTTTTTTTTTTTTTTGTGGTACGCAGGCCTCTCACTGTTGTGGCCTCTCCCGTTGTGGAGCACAGGCTCCGGACGCGCAGGCTCAGCAGCCATGGTTCACGGGCCCAGCCACTCTGCGGCATGTGGGGTCCTCCTGGACCGGGGCACGAACCTGTGTCCCCTGCGTCAGCAGGTGGACTCTCAACCACTGCGCCACCAGGGAAGCCCTGCAATGAACATTTTGGTACATGACTCTTTTTGAATTATGGTTTTCTCAGGGTATATGCCCAGTAGTGGGATTGCTGGGTCATATGGTAGTTCTACTTTTAGTTTTTTAAGGAACATCCATACTGTTCTCCATAGTGGCTGTATCAATTTACATTCCCACCAACAGTGCAAGAGGGTTCCCTTTTCTCCACACCCTCTCCAGCATTTATTGTTTGTAGATTTTTTGATGATGGCCATTCTGACTGGTGTGAGGTGATACCTCATTGTATCATTGTAGTTTTGATTTGCATTTCTCTAATGATTAATGATGTTGAGCATTCTTTCATGTGTTTGTTGGCAATCTGTATATCCTCTTTGGAGAAATGTCTATTTAGGTCTTCTGCCCATTTTTGGACTGGGTTGTTTGTTTTTTTGATATTGAGCTGCATGAGCTGCTTGTAAATTTTGGAGATTAATCCTTTGTCAGTTGCTTCATTTGCAAATATTTTCTCCCATTCTGAGAGTTGTCTTTTCGTCTTGTTTATGGTTTCCTTTGCTGTGCAAAAGCTTTTAAGTTTCATTAGGTCCCATTTGTTTATTTTCGTTTTTATTTCCATTTCTCTAGGAGGTGGGTCAAAAAGGATCTTGCTGTGATTTATGTCAAAGATATAATTTAATTTTTAATAGTAGCTGGGCATTATCACCAGCTTTCAAAATTCCTGAAGTTCAACAATTGGCTATTGCAATTGTAATTTGGTATGAGTCAGCTCCAGCACACCATTGGTACTAGGAATATACCTTGCTGAGTGGTCCTAGAAAAAAGACAAATTAAAACTCTGATGTCGAGACTAATAGGAGAAAGATGCTGCTGGTCATTCACCCATGAAGGCAGGGGTGCCCAGGGGAATCTAACCCTGCTCTGAAAACAGATCTTCCTAACGGCAACTAGAAAAATAATCTAAGGCTAATCCCATGAGAAGTCTTAGGTGTGGTTCCAGAAACACCAAAAAGAATAGGATTCCTCTGGACTAACTGGGAAAACAAGTTGGGGTGGTGGTGGTGGCAGCATTAGATCGACCTATGTTTTATAAAATTCCTCAAGAGATTAGGGCACAGGGAAGTAGGTTCTAACCTCAGTGAAAAAGCACTGACTGGTAGCAAATAGATGTGGCAGTGAGCCCAAGTCATTACATGGAGCTCAGAGCCAGTTTGTCACTGGACAGATCACCAGCCTTTGCAGACTATGAAAGCAAAGTCAAATGATACTAACTATTCTGGATTACACCTACTGACTGGCAAGGAATATGAAAAATTGGAGGAGATACCAAGGATACCAGATATCAGAGCCAGCAAGTAAAAAGGACTGAAGGACATATGGTTCTGATAGAATATCATTTGAGATACTCTGGATAACTCCCCCTCACAACATCATCTCCTTAATCCCTTGCTGCCAAAAACAACTAGAAATACTGGATATACTACCTAGAAATATTTTTTAATGTTTCATGGAGCTGGCAAGACAGTAATGAATCTATAGAAACAAAAAAAAAAAAAAAAAAGAAGAAAAAGGAAAAGAAAATACTCCTAAAAGGTAAGTGATCTGTAAAGCTGATTTTCACACTAAGGGTCAACCTAAGGGACCCTGTATTTACATTTTGATAATTACATGGAGTGCAGAGGATAGCAGATAAAGCCAAGGATCTATGGGAGATCACTGCATAGATCTGAGATTCTAATGAACAATGCTATCATTATAAGAATGAGCAAGAAATAAATCCACCCTAAAGAAGAAGACACTGAAAATTAACCTGTCTCAACCTTTGCCCTGGGAGAATGGAAAAAAAAATTCCCTGAGAATTCATCAACTTAAGCAAGCCCTTACATGAGTTTGAAGCCAATTTCAAGCTACTTATGTGTATGGTTGCCAGATTTAGCAAATAAAAATAGAGGATGCCCAGTAAATTTCAGATAAAGAACAATTTTTTAGTATATGTTCCAAATATTGCACTAAAAAGTGTTTGTTGTTTATCTGAAATCTAAATTTAACTAGGTGTCCTGTATTTTATTTGGCAACCCTACCTATGTGGTATGAAACATCAAAGAGCAAATTTAAACTGTTCCTGGTTAATAGTGCCCCCTGGTGACATAGAAACAAACCTGTATCTTTTTGGAGGACTGTAACTTCAAACCAGGTTTCTAAGAATTTCCTCAGATTAAAATCCAACATAAACTCACAATAAAAACTCACAAAATATATAAGAAGAAAAAGGAAGTATAAGTATGAATCAGGAAGAAAATCCAGGAAGTATAGTCAAATCCACAAAGACTTCAGAAATTTGAATTATCACATTTAGAATACAAAATAATGTGATTAACATGTTTAAAAACTTAAAAGGAGAGACCTGGAAACATGAGCAACAGACTTAAAAAAAATACAAGGAGACCTGAAAAAGAAACAAATAGAGGCCTATGAATGAATGAAAAATATAATGCCTGAAATTCAAAACTCAGTGGTTGGGTAAATAACCTATTAGACAAAGTTGTAGGAAGGATTAGTGAACTGGAGAAAACATTTGAAGAACTTATCCAAAATGAAGCTCAGAAAGACTAAGAGATGGAGAATAATATAGAGAGGTTAAAACGAATTGAAGACAAAGAGGATTTCTAACACAATTTAATTAGAATTCTAGAAGAAGGAAAGAGATTATGAGGATGAGGCAATGATACAAGAAACAATGGTTGTATATTTTCCTGAATTACTGAGAGATACCAATTCTCAGATTCAGGAAGCCCCATGTTTCCCAGCAGGTAAGGAAAATAAATTCATGTCTAGATCCAGAAAAGTAAAACTACAGTGCTCCAAAGACAAAGAGATGGTTTTTAAAAATTGTTGGAGAGAAGAGAGATTATTAGGCAATAATAATAGCACATAATTGAGGAGTCTGAAGCTCTAAGTCCTTCCATATTGGTAAACAAAACTGCTGGTAAATTTCTTGCTTCTGTCAAGATTAGCTCAAGGTCTTGGGGTCAATTACTTTGAGATTCAACCATGGGAATTATGGAAGTCAAATCTCTATAGTGGAAACGAGGCAAAAATTGAAAAAAAGTGTAGCCACTCAAAGGTTTTGGTGAGGAAATTGCTGCATCATCAACTCAAAAATATTGTTTAGGGACTTCCCTGGTGGCCCAGTGGTTGAGAATCCATCTCATAACGCAGGAGACGCCAGTTCCAACCCTGGTCGGGGAACTAAGATCCCACATGCCGTGGGGCAGCTAAGCCTGCACACCTCAACTACTGAGCCCGCACACCATAGCTAGAGAGTCCATGCACCGCAACTAATGAGCCCATGCGCTCTGGAGCCCACATGCCATAACTAGAGAGAAGCTGGCATGCCACAAATAAAGGGTGGCCTGCACACTGCAACTAAGACTTGATGCAGCCAATAAATAAAGTAATTAATTAATAAAAATTTAAAAATATATATTGTTTAAAATCACCTGGAAATTGCCTAGATTTTCCACTTCACTTTTATAGCATGGATGAGATAAGGCTTTGGTGTGTAAGTGCAGATCAATCAATTTTGATTTGTTTCAGAAAAAAAAGAAAATCAAGTCTGTCTTAAGTATTAAGCAAAGTGCTAGGCTCCCTTAAGGTGCTAACTATCCAATAAGAGGATTACCTATCATGGAAGGTAGAATGCAAAAGAAATTTTCTACTGCCAAAGAAAATAAAGCTCAGGGGATTTTTACAGTAGAGAATATTCCCATTTGGTTGGAAAGATCAGATGAAGGAGACACATGAGATGGAGATTTAAGGAAGAACTGAAATTTTTTCTACAGGTAATGAAGAAGATATTTTAGATGAAGTTTACACCATACACTAGAATATAGTTGTTCAAGGATGCTTAGGAAATAGCTAATTTATTAGTTTGCTTGATGTATTTGAAAGGTGTTAAACAATAATAACAACCTCCCTCCCCCAATAAAGAAGTGTGTAGAGATGAGCCATGGCAGGCCTTGAATGCAGAGCTGAAGAACTCACACTTTATTGGGTAGGCAATCCTGATTGTATGGGAGGCTTGCTTCCAAAGCTCATCACAGATAGCAATCTGGCTTTCAGAGTCTATGCTCTTAACCACTCCTATGCTGTCTATGGACAATGATGCCTGTTTATAAGATCCAGTGAATTTTTGGCAAATATTAGGTACTTGATAAATATTTGACCTTTGGAAAATTTTAGCATTGCTGATGATTTAAGAAGTGCAACTGTAAAGAATTAGGAAGTAGCAAATAAATAATAAGCCCAATGTAGTGAGGGCTTTTGGGGAGCAGATGTCTTTTACACTACCTTTTTGTTTTTTTTAACCTGTAGAGCAATCTGATATACTACTAAACAAAAGTCAAAAAAGCAAATAAGTTTCTCTTAACTTGGTAAATTTACTTTTGATATATGCGTCAAGAAAATAATACAAAAGAAAGGAAAAAAAATCCAAGGATATTTGTAAGTGCCTTCTACTGGAAAGCCAACATTGTCAAAATGACCAAGTTTTAGTGACTGGTTAAACAGATGATGGTATAATACAGTAAAACATTACGATATAGTGCAAATTATGCTATATATAAAAATACGCATTTGAAATAGCTATTAGAAAAATATTAAATAAAAGTGGTGTAAACTATTATACATTATTTGTCTACATGTACAAGTTATGTCTATAAACTGTACTATGTTACTACAAAGTGATAAAGGTTGAAAGAGTCAGATCTTGGGCAGCTGATACATTATAGAGAGGGGATTTTTCCAGTTTTGTTGATTATAATTATTTTGGCTTTCTTTCATTATATAGATATGTGTCAATAGACAATGAAAGATATTCTTTGAATTGAAACCACATACTACCTAGGCAAAAAGCTGTTAGATAGTGAATGTATTCAAATAGGTGACTATCAGTAAGAAAATCCTTTACTGTACAAGGGAGAATAGACTCAAGTTTCCTCGAACTCTGATTCTATTTCCTTCTGGGACTTTTAAACTCTATTTTTTTTTCTATTTCTTATATCGTCTACTTCTTACATTATTCAAAGAAAACCTCGTAATATAATTGTCAATTATACTCTGATTGGCATGCAAATAAGATTAGTTTTGCCAGTGAAGTCTTGTGTAATGATTTAAATATCAATTACACAGGTAAAAAATGAGGAACACTTATGCCAAGTAAGCCATGAGATGACTAAATTTAGAAAGATGTGAAATCTACTAAGCCAGCTATTAATATCCTATTAACATAATCCATGTTAATATCTCCCTGAAAATAACTGAAGTGAAAAATAACAAATTTAAACATAAACTGCATTAATACTTTCTAGCATGTGAAGAGGAAGATGAAACCAACAAATAATAATATACAGCCTTGATGACCCCAGAAAGTGGAATTTAACATACCTCTTAACACTTTCTTTTTTTTTTTTTTTTTTAAATTTCATTTATTTATTTATTTTTGGCTGTGCTGGGTCTTCTTTTCTGTGCGTGGGCTTTCTCTAGTTGCGGCGAGCGGGGGCCACTCTTCATCGCGGTGCGCGGGCCTCTCACTGCCGCGGCCTCTCGTTGCGGAGCACAAGCTCCAGACGCGCAGGCTCAGTAGTTGTGGCTCACGGGCCCAGCCGCTCCACAGCATGTGGGATCTTCCCGGACCGGGGCACGAACCCGTGCCCCCTGCATTGGCAGGCAGACGCTCAACCACTGCGCCACCAGGGAAACCCAACACTTTCCTTTTAGTATTCAGGAGATCTGACTAGAGAGTAACAACAGCAAATCATTAATGCAGAATGCTCTACTGCAAAGTATAATGAAGGTTTACATGATGTGTATGATATAAAAAATAGCCAAGAAAACATAGAGTTTCAAGGTAAGAAATCCTATAGACTATCAAATGAGAAACTAATCCCCAGCACTAATCAAATTCAGGAAGCAGAATTAGAGCTGTTACATCTAATCTCCCAATTTGGCACGTGTCCAAAATGTGGTCAGGTGCACTAACTACTTTAGGGCAGAAAAACCGACATGATCTGTTTTTATAAAAACTAAACCAAATGATGATTTAAGAACATCATTATCTCTGAGTAATGATACAAACTAGCATATTCGTTACAATATGTAAATGTTCCCTTTTCACTTGACTGAAGAAGAATCATGTTCTTGATGAATATGTTCTTACAGCGATTCTGTCTTATTCTTAGCTAGAAAGAAAGACATGTGGTAAGCATGTAATAATCCAGGCAGCTGATGAAATGGTTTTTGTTTTTTTTAATTTCGATTGTTATCACAAAGATGGTGAAAGTGTTCCATCCACAGTCCCTTAACTCCATACACTCTCCCTGGGTGACCTCATCCAAACCCACAGTTTCAAGGACGATTTGTACATCTATAAAACTTCCAAATCGCAAGATTCTCCCTGCAGTACCGCCTTCTCCTTCCAGCAAATGTCTTCACCTATTTTCATTAGGGAAACTGACACCTTTAGAAAGCTGCTCCCTTAACCACAGCCCCATCCGATCAGAATACTTACCAAGATCCATCTAGCCCAGCTTACTTCCCACCCATCTCTCCTATCTAAGATCAATGCTTCATCTGGCTCTGACTTTATACTCCCAATATTCCTCAATCAATTTTCCTGCCTTATTGTATTTCTGTCTTTCCGTGGGCATTTAAATGGAACCCAGCTGAATGTCACTCCTGCCCCTCAAGATCCAGTGAAACTGCCTCAAACTCTGATGGCATGTGAAAGTTCAAGTTCAAATTAGGTGCTTACAACCATAGGACCCTTCCAGCCTCCAAGCCCAGGAATTCTTGTGTGCCCTCTGTTCCTCAGCTTTCTCTTTGGTTTCTACAAGAAACTCACTCACACTTAAGATCAGTGGATTGAATTATTGACTTTACTGAAGACCTCTGAGAGATGGAGGACAGGGTCCATCATCCAGCACACATTTTCTGCCATCTTGTTCATGCACCCACCCCTCTCTCCATCCTCTCACTCTTCATCCTTTTCATTCCTGGTTGCTCTGGGAGCACCGGTTTCACCCCACTTCTACCTCTTTGTGCCAGCCAACCAATTTTCTCTTTCTCCACATTGTTGATTGCAAAGTTTCACCAACTATTGTCTTGCAATCTCTTAAATCTATCACTTTTGATTTTATTTCTAGCACACTACCTTAGCTTGGGTTTTTGACGCTCCCATGTCGATTACTGGAGTACCACAGTGAACTGACTAGATGTGTGGTTTTGACTCAGCCCTCTCCAATAAATCCTGCACAGACCTCAACGATGTGTCTTTCTAGAGCCATCCTTCACCAAGTCAGTCCCAAGGGAAGTTCTTTAACAAATCCTAATTCTTATGTAATAGAGTCCCAATTGCTTAGTCTGGCATTTAAGACCTCCTATAATCTGGTCCTAAACTAATTTTCTGGCCTTATCTCCCAGTCCTCTGCCGCCTGAACCAGTCAAACTGGGAGAACGGCTCTCCTTTGCATCTACTTGTACCGTCTCGCCTCCCAAGTCTTCAGTGTGTGACCCACCCCACCCGTTCTCACTCCAGCTCTCTTAATCCACTCATTTTCAGAGCTGGTCTCAAATATTACCTCTTCTTTCAAGCCTTTCCTGGTTCTCTAAGCCCAGAGAAATCTTTGGACACATGATCTAATTTCTCTCCATCTGTATGAGGATCAGAATTGTATCTGTTTCACCAGAGACTGAGAGGTTTCCCGGGACATGGGACCTGCAGTGCTAAAAATGAACAGCCCTGGGCAAACTGGGACAATTGGTCACTCTACCTGTAATATGTGTGGCAGCTGTAATATATGTGGCAAGGGTCCTGGGGCAGGAAAGGAGGGCCATGTTTTTTGTGCATGCCTACTGTGGAAATTTAGATGTCAGGGCTGGCCACAGAAAACTCCAGGGAGAGAAAAGGAAGGGGGTGAGGACACTTTTTGGAGCTAAGGATAGGCCAACTGGGGCTGAGATCTTCAGATAAATACATAGCTAAAGGGATCCCACTTTTGCATTTTCCCTCATTTTAGCTCTCTTTTTTTGCTTAAGAAATTAAGAAAAAGAAGGGGGGATAAAAAGATACATTCCAAGTAAAGGAATTTTAATAAGGATGTAGAAGGCTCTATAAATAGTCCTGTGAAAGGAAAATATTTTTAACTGTTACAGCAAAGAAATATAATCATTAAGGAAACTTAATACATAAGACTATATACAAATTTTCAAATTCTGCATGCCAAAAACTACTGCACACAACTTAAAATGCAAATAACAAATTAGGGAAAATGTTTTCAATATATAAGACAAAGGTTTTAAAATCATTAATATTGATAAATAGGGAATTCCCTGGTGGTCCAGCAGTTAGAACTCAGCACTTTCACTGCTAGGGCCTGGGCTCGATCCCTGGTTGGGGAATTAAGATGATGCAAGCCGTGCGGTGCAGCAAAAATAAAAGAATCGTTAATAAATAGACAGATTTTATGAAGCAATAGAAACAGATAAACAACCTAGAAGAAAAATAAGCAAAAGTTTTTTATAGAGACATGCAAATGGCTCTTAAACACATTCAGCAATATTCAGATTCATTAACAGTTAAAGAAATTCAAGCTAAAATAACAAGCATTTTTATCTTTCAAATGAAAAATGAGCAAAGAACTTAGAATTTCATAAACTACTTACAAGCATGTAAATTGGTAGATAATTTGGCCATATATTTCAAAAGCCTTACAATGATTCATAATCTTTAACCTATCAAGCTTCTTTCTGGGAATTTGTTTTAAGGAAATGATAAAAAATATATACAAAGATTTATAGAATACAGTTTTATCATAGAGATATTTTTAATAATGAAAAAACTGAGATGTATTTAAATGAGACTGAACAACGATAATCAATAGGCAATTGATCAAATACACTGTGATACATTTATGTAAAGATTTAATATGCAGTCATTGAAAAAATAATTTTTAATGACATGAGAAATTTGTCACAATATGTTGCAAGGAAAAAAAGCAGGCTAAAAGCCATATGCAAGATGATTCTATTTTTATAAAAATATACTATAATGGTGTGTGTATGCATATGTATATCTAGAGAGATAGACTTCTGGTTGATGTATTATAGATCATTTTAATGTTATTCCATGAGTTTTTCTGAATTTAAAAATTGTATAAAACAGTACAATTTATGTACATAAATTTGAAATTTGAAGTCAGAAATATTTAAAATAATTTAAAATGTTCACCCTGATATTTAATATTATCAGGCTCTTTAACTGTGTCTGGCTACTGAAATAAATCTATTATGAAATAGGTGTAGTGGTTTCTTTTTTTTTTAATGTAATAAACATGGCCTCCCTTTGCCCCTTTATTATTATTTTTTAATGTAATAAAAATGATTTCTTAAACAAATACTATACTCAAACATTAATTGAAAAGCATGCACATTTTACTGTTAAACACATGTCCCTCTTCCAACAAAATGAAATGTCATCCTGAGTCACCTTGGGTCACCAAAGGTCTCAGTTGACTTTCTACTGGTATTTGACCATGTCCTGTATAACTGCATGACTTCATCCTCCTGTTACTGAATGCAAATTCCTGTGCCTGATGTACAGTGGGGCCAAACAAACCAAAATGTCAGAGTTTGGAGCAGAGAAAGGTTTATTGCAGGGTCAACGTCAGCGTTCGGAGCAGAGAAAGGTTTATTGCAGGGTCAATGTCAGAGTTTGGAGCAGAGAAAGGTTTATTGCAGGGTCAGTGTCAGAGTTCGAAGAAGAGAAAGGTTTATTGCAGGGTCAATGTCAGCGTTCGGAGCCTAGAAAGGTTTATTGCAGGGTCAATGTCAGCGTTCGGAGCAGGGTCAAGCAAGGAGAATGGTGGCTCGTGCTCAAAAAACCGTGAAGCCCCTGATGGTTTGTTTTGCAGAAGTTTTTATAGGCAAAATTTGGGGTGAGGGCTACAGGGTGTGTGACTTTCTTCTGATTGGTCGGTGGTGAGGTAACAGGGCAGTGCTCCAGGAATCTTTCCCTCAGTCTGAAGTTACCACCCTCCACCGGGGGAATCTTCTGCAGAAGAACTCAAAGATACTGTTATGTAGATTCCTTGAGAGGAACCAGGACCCTGCCCCAAGGCTGCACGATGGTTTCTTGACTGTTCCTCCCTTTTTTCTGAATTCCCTCTCTTCCCTGATTAGCAACTGTTTGAATCTGCCTTTGGAAATCAGGGAGGGTCAAGGAGGCTGAATGAAGCCTATTTCCTACAAACAGGAAACGGGGGACACGGAAGGATTTGTACCAGGAGGGCCCCACAGGGTCCTGCTCCATTTCACTACTTGATGAACATTTACAGCTGTAGTTGATGGGGAGGACTGAAGAAACTCCTAGGACCAGAATGAAAACAACAACTATTTTGGTTATGGGGACAGGACCACACCACAAAAGAGAATTAGGGAACTAAAGAGAGATCTTACCACACAGAAGGAGCCTGGCAGAACAAATATGCCAATTCAGCAGCAGGCCCTGGAGGTCGGAGGTCAGAGGTGGGTGGAGGAATAGGAAAAGTGTGCTAGCTTGAACTGGAACCCTTCCAATCCAGTTATCTTGGCAGTGTACACTGTCATCTGGGGAGAAAAAGGGCTGTATGTGTGAATTGTTTAAAGATAAACAGAGGCATATTACAAATTTCAAGAATTTTTTGAGCAAAAACTCAATTCAAAACTGGCAACATCCAATCTAGCAGATAGAAAGGAGTTCCAAGGAGAGGTACCAAATGAAAGATTTTTATAGGCAGAAGGGAGTGGGAACAAGGAAATTATACTAGGCAAAAGATTGGGTCCGTTACTGCAAGGTTACTTCCCTTTGGGGGATGGCAGGGGTCTATCAGGCAGATTACCTAACTAGTGCTGATCAGACGATTCCTAATTGACTGGTTTTAGATTCCATTTCTGGGAGAATAGAAACTGTAAGTCTCTAGTGACGTGGGGCTTAGCATAAGCGACTCCATTTTGGGCCTGTTGTTTCATTTTTAACAAAAGGAACATGCTATCTCCATGAATTCTATATCTCTCAGAGGTCCAAATAATTTTCCTGGCATCAGTCACTGTGCCCTGTCCACTAAGCAGTGTAACATGTGGTGGAGAAATTGGTCTATTCATTTGCAAGAGATTGTCACCCTGAGGACTGAGAAGATCCATCATGACCAAGTGAACCACCAATCAGCTGATGTCTGGTGTGGACAGAGGACTTTCTGGAAAGGAAACTGGACCAGTGAGACAAGGACTGGGTGTGGTGGCAGCCTGGAAGATTCATTAGTGATGTCAGGCACAGTATAGAACCCTAGATGTATTTTGGAGGGATTACACTAGGGGCTGGAGTTCTGGCTGGGGCAAATAGGTCAATTTAGCTATCCAGATTTAGGTATTAGTGTTAATATCAACCGATTTTTAGCCTCAAGCTGGTGAAGCTTTAGGACATTAAGATTACCCATGACATTCTTTTTTTGAAATTTATTTGGGTGTGTTGCTTTCTTTTTTTAACAAATACCAGTACAGGTCTGATGGTTATAAAACTTTTATTCATTCATTCAACAACTGTTCATTGAACAAGCTCTATGCACTTGGGAAAACAAACACTTTTAAAAGAGTCTGTGCCTTCACGGGAATTCCCTAGCGGTCCAGTGGTTAGGAACCTGTACCTACACTGCCTTTACAAGTGGAAATTTACGTCACCTTCACAAAGTAAAACTGATGCCCCGCTATTAGGCAGAAAGGGGAGGGCAGAGAGTTCTTCAGTATCTGCCGTTTCTCAGTTGCCTCCAAAAATTATCTTAATGCTAAAGTGGCATATTTTGATCCCCTTCAATGTTGACTGTGGATTCCTTTTTTTTCTTTTAGTGTATTACCTATTGCAATTTACTCATGTTTCTTTCTCTGCTATTAGGGGACCGGCTCCTTAAGGAAAAGACTTGTCTGATTCACCTGCACACCCTCAGGACAGAGCAGATTTTAGAGGAATCTGTTGTCCCTCTCCAATCAGCCCATAATTGCTATGGGTGTGCAAACCAGATACCCAACTTGCTAGAATTATTTTAGGGTAACAAGCTTTATGACTTCTTGTGTATGGTTTTGATGTCAACTATTGTGGCTGAGTGAGTTCCTTGCTTCCATCTCCATTCTAGGATGTATTCAAGATAAGTGTTATCCGGGATTTCCCTGGTGGCGCAGTGGTTAAGAATCCGCCTGCCAACGCAGGGGACACGAGTTCAATCCCTGGACCGGGAAGATCCCACATGCCGCGGAGCAACTAAGCCTGTGGTTGCCGCGCCACAACTACTGAGCCTGTGCTCTAGAGCCCGCAAGCCACAACTACTGAAGCCCACGTGCCACAACTACTGAAGCCCGCGCGCCTAGAGCCCGTGCTCCACAAGAGAAGCCACCGCAGTGAGAAGCCCGCGCACTGCAATGAAGTGTAGCCCCCGCTCACCGCAACTAGAGAAAGCCCGCGCAGCAACGAAGACCCAACACAGCCAAAAATAAAAAAATAAATAAAAAAAAGATAAGTGTTATCATTTGCAAAATAGGGTACATTGATTTGTTGAGCGATGTACCTCATTTTCTTACTGCATGGTTTCTTTGCACTTAAAAGAAAACTACAGTACAATTCTGACCCAAACTCAAAAGTTTATTTTTATTAATTAATTTTATTAATTAACTAAATTGTTTTTACTCATATTAGTGCTTTACCCTACAAACACCAGTAGCTGCTTTCCATTTAATTTCTAGGCGTGAAACCATTGTTAAAACTTTGAGATATCGCCACAATTTGGGTTTTTTTTTCCTTTAAAGCAAAGTAAATTATCTAATTATACAGATGGACAAGGTCTCGTTCCTATACATCTCGCTCTTCCCAAATATTTTTTAATCACAACTCTGTGTTTTGAAAGCCCTTTTTAAAACTAAACACATGGATCCTCAAGAGACCCAGGATCGGGGAACGCTTTCAGCCCAGGCCCAATCTCACCCTTCCAAACTTGGATGGTAAAGGCCGCGCCACTGGAGATTGCTGAGCGCCGCCAAAGGCTGCACGGGGCCCCGGCCGGGAGCGGGGGCGGAGCGTCGCAGCGCAGAGGAGAGCCCCCGGCCCTCCCCGCGCCGGGCCCGCGTCGCTCGCCGGAATCCGGTACCGCAGCCGCTGCGGGTCGGCCCCTTCCGCTCGTTCCGGGCTCCCGGCATGGGCATGCAGCTTCTGCGGGGACTGCGGCTCTGGGGGCTCGGCGCCTCCGCAGGCCTGGTCGCCGCGGCCCGAGCCCCCACCGCCCCCCGCTCCCCGCCCCGCCTCCGCGCCTCGCCCGCTGACCCCCGGCCCCGCCCCGGCTTCCGCCTCCGCACCCACCTCCCGGCTGGCCCCAGGTTGCAGCGCCAGGCCGCAGCCGCCTGCAGAGACCTGCCGCCAGCCAACGCCAGCGCTATGGAGCGCGCCGGAGCCGGTGAGCCCGGGTAGCCGAGCGGGCCGGGTGGGGTGACCGGAGCCCGGGGGCGTGGGCCCCGCTCGGCGCTCGGCCTCAGGGAGGGCCCGGCCTCGCCGCCCCACTGCGCCCCCAGCGCTTGGAGCGCGCGACCCCACGCCTGCCCAGCTCGGGGCCTCCTCTCCCCGCTCAGCGCGGGACTCTGTAGCCGCTGGGAGCCCAGTGCAACCGGGTTGTGATCAGTGCTGCTTGTAAGCAAGCGTTTTCGTTAGTGCACGCACTGCTGGTGCGACCGGAGGCCGGGGGTGTGAACCCACGCTAAGTTTCACTTTGCTTTCCCGAAGGTCTTATGACCTTTTAGAAAGTTCATGCCTTCACACACCCTCCGACGGTGTTATTGTGCGGTCGGCAAACTTAGAAAAAGCTCAGTTTTTATACTTTATCACAAACAATCAAAGACCTGAACCACTACACTTGGGGTTTCCTTCTAGGATTTTATTCTAGGTGTAGAAATGACCTCTTTAAACTGGCGCTAGATCTAAAGTAGGGCTCAGAATTGATTTCCAGTTCAGGTCGGCATTTGCTGTGGACTGAACTTTGTGGGTAGAGCGAGTTACGGGTTGGACTTTTAGTGAAAGGGACCAACAAGCCAATTAGAGAAAAGGTGCTCTTCTGTGAGATTTTTGTAATATAAACGCATAAAAAGATATGAAAAGCATGAAAATCTTAAAATGTTATGCAGTAGCCGTTAACGAGTGTGAATATGTTTACAGTTGTTGAGGGAATGAAATGATGAAGACCTTGTAGGTGTATGCTGAGGGCGGGAGTTTTTTTTTTTTTTTTTTTGCGGTACGCGGGCCTCTCACCTCTGGAGCCTTTCTAGCTGCGGAGCACAGGCCCCGGACGCGCAGGCCCAGCGGGCATGGCTCACGGGCCCAGCCGCTCCGAGGCACGCGGGACCCTCCCGGACCGGGGCACGAACCCGCGTCTCCTGCATTGGCAGGGGGACTCTCAACCACTGCGCCACCAGGGAATCCCCAAGGGCGGGAGTTTTTGAGATGCATTTATAAAGGGGGACCTGTAGGGGATTGTCAGTGTCAAAGAGAAAGGATTCACACCCCAGCTCCTTTAGTGTCTGGCCTTGCAACTGAGGATGCTGACGGCGTACTTTAAGATGTTTGTGGAGTTTACTGTCTTCTTACATTCCTTTTCAGATATTATTAACTTTAATCCATTACTCTCTAGTAATTTGGGTTATACTTTAGTTTCTGTTTTAACGATGTGGAAACCAAAGCATGGAGGTCAGGTGACTTGTTGACAGCTCTCAACATTTCTCCAGCTGTAAGATGTTTCTATTTTTAGTAGCCAGGCCAGGACTGACATGGATGATGGGATTGACTCTTTCTACTAGTTCTTGGGGAATATACCTACTATATACCTAGTAGAGTGAATAAAAGAGAATCTTTCTCAGTAAAGTTGTACTTGGTTATCCAAATAGGAAACTACATTTTGTGTGACAAAGGGCAGACTATCCTTTTTCTCTTCTATTGGTCTTTGATGAAGGCATTTGCTGAAGTGCACATATATTTGAATATTAGTGTATACTTCATGTATGGTTTTATAATATATTTGAAATGTGTGCATTGTTTCCTTATAAAAGTAATATTAATTCTGTTTAAAACACTTGAATAGCAGAAATATATTGAGTGCAGCTCTGTCAGCCTTTTCATATATAATTGTAAACATAGCGCAAGTGCATAAGTAGTCTTATATCTGCTTTTCAAAAGGTCAGTACAGGTATCCCCTGCTTTTCAAAAGTTCACGTTATGTCACTTTGCTTTTACATTTATGAAAGACCTGCATTAGCACCTGTTTTCACTAATCAAAAGAAATCCTAACAGGATTTTTCAACCAAAGATAATTGCTTCTTCACTTGACGTCATTTTGGCTTAGCAAATTTTTCGTAGGAAGGCTCTGCTTTCAGATAGCAGGGAATCCTGTATTTGTTACGAACTTTTTTCAGCTGTTGTAGTCTTCCTAGCCATTATTCTTAGTTGTCATTATAGTGAGTATCCTTTGTTTAACCATTTCCCTATTATTAGGCATTTAAGTTGTTAAACTTTTTCTTTTTTGTTTAAACAGAGCTGAGGTGAATCTATTTTAACAAGTATGATAGACTCCCAGATATCTATCTGGTATCTGTTGGGGTAAGAAGAAAATTCTCATGGCTCCTGATTGCTTTCTGAAAGGATTGCCTCAGTTTACAGTGCTATAAACTACGTATGTGAACTTTCCATCAGGGCATGTTGCTGGAAAGGGTGGGTTTTGGCCATTGAGTAACTGGATTCAAATTCTAGCCCCAAGACCTACTAGCTGTAACCTGAGGCAGGTTACTTAATCGGCTAGGGTGTAAAATGAGTATAATAAGAGTACTGCCTGATAGCATGGTTAAATGAGTTACTGTCTGTAAAGTGCTTCCAGCTGTGCCTGGCATAGGAACGAGCTCAAATGTTAGCTGTTGTTGTTACTACTAGTAGTAGTTAACCAGTTTCACCTGTCTTTATAGTATTAATGCACTTAGCAGTGTTACTTTTATTTGGATTTGTACAAAAGATAGAATTTTATTTTAACTATAGTTAGACCAGATTTTAAGTACTTAAAATGGTGAATTTATAGTTTAAATGCTTTATTTAAAGGTTGGTTATTTTAAGGCAGTTTTCCCAAAGCAACATATTTGCACTTCTGTAAAAGAAAGTGTAGTTATGATGGCTGTGTTGAATTCAGGTCTGCCAGCCTTTGCCCAAACACTAGAGCTTAGAGAACTGGAGGAAGGCTTCCAGATATGAGTCCTGCTGAGAAACATTGTTCTATAGAATGGCCAGCAGTTCTTTCAAGAGTTACTTGAAAGTGGTATTCTTTTTTCTGAGTTAATAATTCATATCTACAAAAAGGTTTTCAACTATTCTGTAATTTAATAGAACAAAATTTGTATTTCAAGTTCTAGATGCTTGTTGATTTTGACATACCATTGTACTCAAGAGTTTATTTATTTTAAAAATTAAAAATCTTTTAAAAAAGATTTTATTGGCATATAGTTGATTTACAGTGTTGTGTTAGTTTCAGGTGTGCAGCAAAATGATTCAGTTATACATATACATATCTTCATTCTTTTTCCGATTCTTTACCCTTATAGGTTATTACAGAATATTGAGTAGAGTTCCTTGTGCTATACAGTAGGTCCTTGTTGGTTATCTATTTTATATATAGTAGTCTGTGTATGTTAATCCCAAGCTTCAAGAGTTTACATGTACTTTATTTAACAAGATGGGGAATGATGTTGAGCAAGTCATGTTATACTTCAATTTTTATTTTTATGTCAAATAGAATATCATTTATTCTGTGAAAATGAATCTGTGATGTGCTAAGGATGCCATTAAACACCAGGAATTATTTTTAGGAGCACTGAGATAGCTGTGTGGCCATGGAGCTTGAGTAATTTATTAACCACTCCCAAATGGGTACTTACCTTTGTTGTTCAGTACAAGTGTATTGAGCACCTCCTGTGAGTTGGACACTGTGCTAGGCATTGAGGAATCAAAGGAGGATAAGACGTAGCACTTAAGGAACTTAGAGTAGGGCGACCATACAGACAGATAGGGGTGTAATTGGAAAAGTTCCCCGTTTCACTTTTCAAAGGAGCCCTGGTTTGGGCTGTAAATTATCTGGTCACTTTAGCTTAGAGTCTAATGGAGAAGACATGTAAGTGGACATCTATAACATGATGTATTCATGCTGTGATTGTATGTGGAAGGAGATTGGATTACCTCACTCAGCCCTGAGCTGGTCATCAGGAAAGATTTCCCTGCCAGTAGACGATTAATCAGAGTTTTTACTTTTAAGTTGATTGTTCTCAACTGTTAACATAATTTCTTAGTCTGGCACAGAATCAAGGTATGGAATAAGTGAAAGGGGAGCAGTGGTTTTCAAACTTCATTGCACGTTAGAGTCACCCTGCGAGGCTTTATAAAAGTACAAGAGGCTGGCCTCATTTCCAGAGATTCTGATTTAGGTGGCCTGGGGTGAGACCCAGATGTTGATCATTTAAAAAAGCTCTTCAGGTGATTCTAACGTGCAACCAAGCTTTAGAATTTTTCAACTAGGACAACCTTGTCATCTAATAGATGAGATAACTACTAGGGCCTAGAGAATTCACACGACTTGCCCAGGATCACAAGTGAGTGGCAGGTCCAATACTAGAATATCTGTCTCCTGATTTTTTAAAAAAATATTTACTTATTTATTTGGCTGTGCTGGGTCTTACTTGCGGCACGGGAGATCTTCGTTGCCGCGTGCGGGATCTTTAGTTGAGGTATGCGGGATCTTTAGTTGTGGCATATGGGACCTAGCTCCCTGACCAGGGATTGAACCTGGGCCCCCTGCATTGGGAGCACAGAGTCTTAACCAGTAGGCCACCAGGGAAGTCCCTGTCTCCTGATTTCTAGTCCCAAACCCTTTCTTTTATAGTAGCCAGCTTGCCTTGCATGTTACCCAAACACCACTATTATCACCATTGTCACTGCTCGATTGTCCTTTTGGTATAGCCAGAGTGATCCACATAGCACTTGTTCTCTAATTGTTGTTGATTAATTGGTTAAGGTAAGGTGAACATTTAATTGTTTCAACAACATTTTTCATTTAAAAATGACTAAATTTAATTCATCATGTTATTTAATTCTTCATCTTGCCTTCAAAACATGAGCATAGAATTCAGCCTGCCTTCCCCATTCCGCATATTGCCAAGAATCCAGTATATTTCCAAGTGGCACTTTGGAGCTAGTATTGAGATGTCACTGTTAAATGGGCCAATTTAATATCACTAATTTCTCCCCTCCTCAGCTTTATTGAGGTACAATTGGCAAATAAGACTGTATATATTTAAAGTGTACAGTGTGATGATTTGATAGAAGTACACATTGTGAGATGATTGCCACAATCAAGTTAATTAACGCATCCACACTTCACTTTTTTTTTTTTTGGTGAAAATGCTTAAGATCTCTCTTAGCAAATTTCAAGTATACAGTACAGTATTTATTAACTCTAGTCACCATGCTGTACATTAGATCCTTAGAATTTATTACTAAGTTCTTAGATTAAGAGTAAAATAGAAAAACGAAAGTTGGGTTTATTTCATTTTGTCCAGATTTTCATTCAGCTTTGTGCACTTGTAACTGCACAAATACTCTTTGTTGCTAGCTTTTAAGTGTAAGCAACATGGTCAGTGATGATATTTTCTGCATAGCTGCATGTGCCCCAAAATATAAAGATATGTGTTGATCTATTAAAACTGTTGTTTAAATATAAGCTGCATTTGTATTTTTCAATGCAAGTGTAAACATAGAAAGGAAACATTTACTTGTTCTCACATGTTTCAAATAGTTGTGAGTTTGATTAGATTTAAAGTAAACTAACATTTGTTGAACACCTGCGTGCCAGGCACTCATACTCAATAAGGTTTGAACTGTAATATAAATAAATAGCATTATTAAGAATGTACTATTAATTTTTTTGATTTTGGTATTGAACATGATTAGCTGATATACAAAAAGCAACAACAAAAAGGTTTTATTGTCATTTTTTGCTTTTATCTAGAAAATAGGGGTGTGTGTGTGTAACTAATATTAGAGATTACCCAAATTGCAATAAAAATTTAGTTTTTTTTTGTTTATGTTAGCTATGACCTATCAGGATATTTATTATCTTGTATATTGAAGCCATATTCTTAATGGAGTGTGTTTTTTTAAGGCCTGATATATGAAAATAGAGGATTACAGCAGAATGAAATAAATGACTTCTTTAATATTGTTAGTGGTAAATTAATCTTTACTCAATATATAGAGTAGAAATTATATAAGTATCCCAGGATTTTGTTCAGTTCTAGTTCAAACAACATTTGTGTCTGTCAATAAAAGCATGGAGAATAATAGTACTGGGGAGACCACCTACTGATAAACTTAGCAATTGACTATCAGTTTGAACAGACACCCTCTTTCCCTTAACCTCCTCCCAATGAATATGATTGTTCCACCCATAAAAACAAAACAAAACAAGGACCAGATGTGAAATGTGGCTCTAATATTAATATGTATCCATGGGAGAGCTGTCGGGAAACTGTAAGATCTTTTTGCTTTTTAACCATTGAATTTCTAGAAAAACGTATTTAGAGCTATGTGTTTTTAACGTTTGAATTTCCAATGTTAATATAATAATGGAGAGAAAAAAATTTAAAAGTCTTTATGAAGAAAAAAGTAAAAGTCATAGCTTGTACAGATGAGAACAGATAAGTGATATTGTTAAAAAATAAACATGAAAAAGACTGCTAAAACCTTGTTGGCTTGTTTTCAAAAGGTATGTGAAAAACTGTAGTTTTAGAATTAAGAAAATGCAGCTATAAAGGATCTTGAGGCTTGCTGATTAACTCAACTTCATTTAACCCTGAGTTGAGTACTGTGCTTCAGAAAATTATTAAAGCTGTTTAACATAAAAATGCATTTATAAAAATGGAGAATATGGTATAAATATTTATATAAATAGCTGTACAATATATTTGAATACCAGTTTTAGCATTTCTTAACAGATGTTAATTTATATTGAGTTCAGTTAGTTGAGTTATTGTAGCTTAGGATATGAGTTAAAATAAATAAAATAATATACTTTTCTTTTTGTGATGTTAAAGGAGGAATAAATTCCAATGAGTGTGAAAATGTGTCAAGAAAAAGGGAAATGTCAGAAGAATCTGAAGCCAACACAGTGGATTCTCTGGTAGATTTGCCATTTGCTACTATCGATATTACAGATGATTGTGGAAGTAAGTACTTTATTAAATAAATATGTGTTTAGAAGCAATGAATAGTAAATTTAGTGATACATATATTTTTTTCTTAATAATTACTTCACCTTAAGTACTTGTCATGTTTTTGAGTTTGGGTTGTTAATTAATAATTGTCAGTTGGTAGTCTATTGATAAAACTATCACAGATAATATTAAGGCATTCTCACAGAATTTGGGGCCAGATCATTCTGGAGTTTATAAGCTACTTCAGAAAACAATGGGCCACAACATTCCATGGTTTATAACCACCTCAGTTATTCTGGACCTACTGCTAATTCAGCAGTACCCATTCATCTAACAGATGTTTACTGGCCAAAATGATATGTATTGGAATATAAATAAATACATAAAAATATAAGTAAAGGTAAGTAAAATAAATAAATATATATATGAAATAAAATATACAAATGTATGTAAAAAGAAAATCTTTCAGAAATGTTGAGGAAGCAGTACAACCTGAACCACACCTTTGGCCCTGTAGGTTGAATGTTTTCTGGGAGAGAATCCAGCATTAGTGAGTTGCTGACCTGGACCTGGATGGGTCTGTTCTGTTTACAGGCAGAAGGGTCGTTGGTCAATTGGTTGGAAACCCAGTAAGCCATCCAGAGGTTTGAGGTTGCTGTGAATCCTGCCTCTGAAGGTTGAGTGGGAGCGTGCAGTGGAGAGTCTTTCATTCTACTGCTGATAGGAATAACTTAGAATGCTTCCCACAGAGTGTAAAAATTTGTGGAGAGCTTTAGTTTAAATGACTCTACTCTCTTAAGATAATCACAGCCCTTAACTATGAAGCCACACTTAAATCAAGGTTCAAAACAGAGTAGTTCAGTGATTTTTTTTTTTTTTTTGTCGCATGTCTTTCCTAAATGTGGCATTCAGTTCTCCTCACTGAAATTACTGTAATCCTTATTTTAGCTCACAGAATTCTAGGTCTAACCTTATAATTATTGAAGATTTTAGAGATATGGGAAATTATCATTTTATTCCTAATAGCTAATAGCTAATACTATTAAGTAGTATTACTACTTAAGTAGTAGCTAATATACTAGTAATAGCTAATATACTTAAGTAGTATATTAATAGCTAATACTATTAAGTAGTATTACTACTTAAGTAGTATATTAAAAAATACTTTGAATCTTAAGTATTTTAAAGTATCAATTGAAACCTCCCTTTACCTGGAAAAAAAATTTTGTAACAGAAAAATGTGTATCAAATGAAGATTGAATCTCCGTACTTGGTATAGTAAGTGATTGTCCTGAGTCAATATTTAAAAAAGGGTAAATTATATCCTGTACCTTTCTGTAATTTATTGGGGAAGCCTGTAATGCATATTTCAAATTTTATTGTGAAAGGACTTAAGGCAAATATTTGTCCCAAATAATAAAAAATAATTGGTATCTGGCAAAGGGTGTAAAAGATAAAACTCAGTAAACAAATGTATGGAAAATTATTCAACTTCATAAGTATCAAAGGATGCACGTCAAAATACAACTGTAACTTATCAGATTGGCAATATCTCTTAAAAATAATACTCAGTGATTTTAATGTTATATCTACATGGCTTCTGACAATGTACTGTTATAGTCCTTTTAAAATGGAGTTTGTTGGGATCTTGAGCAATGTTCATACATGGGGTAGAGTCACTCATGGAATTCCTACTATAAGGACATAGTCTTGTGGGAAGAAGTTTTATTTACAAATATGTGTGTCACAGTGTTTTTAAATAGTAAAATAGTATTTAGTTTTTAAATAGTAAAAATATTGGGGAAAACCCAAGTGTCCATTAGAGTGTGGTTGAATAAGCTATACTAGTGCCTTTAGACTACATAGTATAGAATTATATATTATTATATTATATTATATATATATTTATATAAATATATATTTATAAATTATAAATATATTATTAAATTATATTAAATATATTATTTATATAAATATATATTTATTATATATTTATATATCATAAAAATATTTCTGAAGACTATGTAATAGTGAACATTTCCTATATAAAATGCAAAGTGAAAAAGTAGGGGGAAATTATATGTGCTGTTTGTTTACAATTGTGTAAATACTTTAGGTGATTTGTCACCAAAATTCACAGTGGTTGTGTTAAGATGGGAGGTTTCTTTTTTCCTTTTTCTAATCTTCAGATTTTATAAGTGCTCTTTATGCTTTTTTTTTTTGTAAATTTATTTTTATTTATTCATTTTTGGCTGCATTGGGTCTTTGTTGCTGCACGCAGGCTTTCTCTAGTTGTGGCGAACGGGGGCTACTCGTGGTTGTGGTGCACGGGCTTCTCATTGTGGTGGCTTCTCTTGTTGTGGAGCACAGGCTCTAGGCGCACGGGCTTCAGTAGTTGTGGCACTCAGGCTCAGTAGTTGTGGCTCGCGGGCTCTAGAGCGCAGGCTCAGTAGTTGTGGCGCACAGGCTTAGCTGCTCTGCAGCATGTGAGATCTTCCTGGACCAGGGCTCGAACCCGTGTCCCCTGCATTGGCAGGCGGTTCTTAACCACTGTGTCACCAGGGAAGTCCCTGAATGCTCTTGATACTTTTCATGAAAAAATATGATTAAAGCTTTTAGTTGTGGTTAGAAACTTGCTTTTAAAGATGTAAGCTTCATCAATTCAGTAAACAGAGAACTAGAGAAACTCAGTTTTTTTTTTGATACTATCCACTAAGATATCACTAATAGTGTTAAAGTTAGGTGGTTAAAAGTGAGGGCTGTGGAGTCAGACTGTCAAGGGACAAAATTTGCTTCTACACTTTCCTATTGTGTACTTTGAACAAGTGTCTGGGCTTACTTTCATTATCTCTAAAATTGGTTTAATAATGGTAGGGTTGTTGGGAAGATTCAATTTGTTAATGCTGTCCTTACAGCAGTGTGTGGCACAAACTTGCCTCCGTAAATTTTTATTAATTTAATCTTACCAAAATTTTTTGCCCAAATATATTTGTTGAATTAAGTATTAAAATACTTGCCCTTTGAGAGCAGTATTTTATAATATCATTGAGTGCTTCTAGCACATCAGTAAATGCTTTAGTATTTCTTAATCCTCACAGTGAATGAGAGGGGTAAATTATTGTTTTAGAAAGTTTTAGTAATTTGCCAAAGATTATTCAGAGTAATTCTATGAAATATAGAAGGTAATATTCTAAGCTGTATACTTAAGTTTTAAGAATGGTTACTTCAAAGATTTTGACTGCTTAAGTAACAAGAAAAAAGGAAAAGAATATAAAAGCAAAATTGAATTCATTCTCAGCCTTTTGGCTAACAGCAAGTATGAAAACAATCAACCAACAATAACAGATGGACTACCTCATTACATTAATTTATCCCATAATTCATTCCCTTGTAGTTTTTCGAGGGAATTAAATAAACTTTAGGAAAATTAGTTAATTTACATAAAATGACATATGTGGTGCTTTAGGTAAAAAAAGCCAACTCATGGATGAGAGAGTTACAGCCTTTGTCAACAAGACCAGATTCATTAGAGCACATTAAAATGGCTACTGAGGGCTTCCCTGGTGGCACAGTGGTTGAGAGTCCGCCTGCCAATGCAGGGGACGCGGGTTCGTGCCCCGGTCCGGGAAGATCCCACATGCTGCGGAGCGGCTGGGCCCGTGAGCCATGGCCGCTGAGCCTGCGCGTCCGGAGCCTGTGCTCCGCAGTGGGAGAGGCCACAGCAGTGAGGGAGAAGAACGCAAAAAAAAAAAAAAAAAAAAAAAAAAAAAAAAAAATGGCTACTGAAATCATTATGAAAATTAACAAATGTAATAAATTTATGGGATGCATTTACAGGCTCTGCTACAACTGATACTTTTTTTTTTTTTTTGGCTAAACAATAAAGTTACTCAACAATCCAGTGAAAGATCCCGGGCATATTGCCAAAAGCTTTCTACATTTTGCTTCTATGGTCATTGATCTTTAATGTTTTTATTATAAACTTGATATTACTTGAATACTTTGCTCATTGTATTTTCATATGCACTAAATAAAAAGTATAACAGTAAATTGTATTTTAGAACTTAGATTATGATTTAAAAGCTAGAAATAAAATGAAGTTCAGTAAGGAAAAGAGGGATTTTATACTCTGGCCATACAAATAAACTTGCAAATAAACCATACAAATAAACCTGCAAATGAAAGGCAAAGAAGCTATGCAAACAAGTGTCTAGCAAGTTGACCATAAATCATCAGGACTCACAGAAATAGAAAGACAAACTACTTATAATGGTATATTAAACTGTACTATAACAGTAAATACTCACAGAATTCTTTCCCCCTTTTTTGCCCAACTCACATCAGATAATTTTAAACTTTACCCTGTCTGTGATGCCTAACAAAAGAAAAATGTAGATAATCCAGTTCAGAGGGAAGTTTAATAGTTATTGATAAGAGAAAGCTAAGGGAATTTAGAAAAACCCTGTACTTCTTTATTTTTACCAGGAGGTTGCATTCTAAGTTGGGGGCTTTACTCTGTGTCATTCTCACAATACCAGAATTATTAGACCTATTTCACATTATAACTATTACCTTCAGAGATTATGATTTTCCTTCTCTGGATATCTGCAAAATGGACTTATGAAACATTTGAAATGGCAAAAATGAGTAGCTACAGACAGGAGGACACTTTAGTTTTAAACAGGTAATGTGTAAAACAAAATACTGAACACTCCAGTGGTCTTTTAAATACTGTTTTATTAAGTCTATTCCTCTTCTTAGTACTGGTATATTGAGTAAAATACAGCAAAAGTATGTCTTATGTTCAGAGTAAGAAATAGATTTTACATTGCCACCCAATATACATATATATGTAAAAAACTGAAATTTCATTAAGTAATACATGTACCATAAGCAGTGTACTGTTTACGATTCTGTCCTTTTGCTTTGCTTTCCTTTTCTTTCATTCCAATCCATTCCATTCTAGTTATTAAAAAGTGCTTTTTTTTTTTTGTCTTCTAAGGTGATTTCATAACCCACTAGTGGATTGATACTTGCAGTTTGAAAAAAGAAAAACTAGACTATAGGCTTAGGATTCTATTTCTACTATGTTAATTTTGAGATAAACTAAAGGTTATAAAATCAGCTGGATTATTAGTTTGGACACCATTCTTTGTTTAATTTCACCATAAAATGTCCTAATTAGTACAGGTAGTAACAGTTGGTACCTTTATTCCAAATCACAGAAAACTAGAACCAGAAGAGACCCCTAGTTACTAGATTATGCAGCTTTTGTTCCTCTCATGCCCCTGGGTTTTTTTTTTTTTTAAATTGATTATAGAAACTTTTAAGCATATTCAAAAGTAGAATAGTATAAATGAGCCTCATGTATTCATTACCTCTTCTTCACTGGATTATTTTGAGGTAAATCGCAGAGAGCTCATTTTTTCTGTAAATAATGCATATCCTTAAAAAATGAGGAATCTTATTAAGCATATAATAGTAAGCATACTTGAAATATCCTTACTACATGAGAAAAATAATGGTAATTCCTAATGTCATCATATACCCTGTCATATTCACATTTCTCTGATTGTATTGTAATTATTTATCTTTGGCTGCGTTGGGTCTTCGTTGCTGCGCGCGGTCTAGTTGCAGCGAGTGGGGGCTACTCTTCGTTTTGGTGTTCGGGCTCCTCACTGTGGTGGCTTCTCTTGTTGCGGAGCACAGGCTCTAGGTGTGCAGGCTCAGTAGTTGTGGCATGCAGGCTTAGTAGTTGTGGCGCACAGGCATAGTTGCTCCACGGCATGTGGGATCTTCCCAGACCAGGGCTTGAACCCATGTCCCCTGCATCGGCAGGCGGATTCTTAACCACTGCGCCACCAGGGAAGTCCCTGTATTGTAATTTTTAAAAAGTTGGTTTGATTTAGGAACCAAAGCCTATGCATTATATTTGATACATCTCTTCAGTCTCTTTTCTAGGAGATCTCTAGATCTCCTCCTCCTTTTGTTTTCATTTGTGTGTGTGTGTGTGTGTGTGTGTGTGTGTGTGTGTGTGTGTGCATGCACGCGTGCACGTTTATCATTGAAGAAATCAAGTTGTGTAGAAGTTTACTGTTATGGTCATTTGATGTTCAAATTGTCCCATCTTTGGCCTGTGGGGGAACTTTCAAACTGGCTCTGGAGACCTTCTGACATGATCCCAGGAGTCTTTGAATTTCTAGCCTTCTCTTGTACATTTTATCCCCCAAACCTAGAATTAGCTATTTCTCCATGGACTGGCCAGATTTTTAAGTTCTCAGATAAAGAAATGAAGTAAATTGATGGAAAGATGCTTGTTGGAAGACTAGTCTTTGGGTCAGTGCCCTTTCACTATCTAGTGCTGCCTCTGCTGCATTGCTGGTTGTCTTCCCAGCAGCCATTTCCACTCCCCCTTTTCCTTTTGTAGATTACTTTTATGCAAAGGCATAGGCTGATAACTGTCAGATACCCCTGCAGTGGAAGCACAGAGTCTTAACCACTGGACCACCAGGGAAAGTCCCTAAGTCAATGTTTAAATGTTCCTATGAGGTAGCTATTATTATTATCCTCACGTTAGAGAGGAGGAAACTTAGGTCAGGAGAACTTATGTGACTTATCTAAGGTCACACAGCTAGTGTGTGGAGCCAGGATTCCAGCCCAGATTATGTTAAAAATGGTTTCCTTTTCCAGAGTGCCAGTTTACTAACAGCAGATGGAGGTGGGCTAGGAATGTATTTTAGAAGTGGATTTAAAATATGTGGTACTTCATTAGCATATTTTGTGGCTTTTGTTTAAAATTAGTACATTTAATTCATGTTACTACAATCAATGGTAGGACTATTTCTTATATATCTGAAATTACAAGCAGCTCAGTGTATTGATTTGATTTTCCATATGAAAAAAGCTGCATGGGAAATAAAACCCAATGGCATCTTATGAAGCAATTCAGATAATGCTCGTAATACAGAGAATGCTACGAACTTTTTAAAAGTTCTGACAAGCTCACAGGTACAAAAGAAGCTAATAATTTATATTTCAAATATGTGTTCTCTGTGAAGATATATCATTTTAACCATGTTAATCATTATGCATATTGTTGAGAAATGTAGTAGAGAAATGGTTGCACAAACAGACTGGGTAATTTTGCCTTAACTCATTATGATACAGTCAGACTTATAACCCAGATCACCTTGCTCTTAATTTACCCCTGTCTTAAGTCTTTTTCTAGGGCTCACAGATATGTTAATCCTAGAAAGAAAGCATGTCTATTCCCACAGACTCTTAATTTTTAAATTTTAAACGTTTTCTACTATTTTTCTTAGAAGTTAGCATTAAAGTATTATTTGCAGCATTCATTTAAAAATTGTTTACTATTAATATTTCAAAGAACAACAGAATAAGGACATTTCCTTCCGCTCTTTGGTTTTGTGTGCAGTAGTAACTACTCATCTAGAACTGCGAGAGGGAAGCAGTTTGCTCCAGTAGAAAGTACACTAGAAGGAGACCTTTAAAAGGTCTAGACACCAGGCTTGACTCTGTGACATTGAGCTGCTTTAAAAGGTTTTCTTCTCTTCTCTTCTCTTTCATCGTATGTAAAATAAGGAGTCTAGTTAGATGCACATGGGCCTTGTGCTCTTGGTCACTATGGTCTGTTAGAGTTGATCCCAAAGATGAAACCAACTTCATAGGACTGAATGTAAGGCAAGGTGCTTCCTCCCTCATCTCCCTCTTTCCAAAATCATACCTCAGAATATACAATTATATTTGAATTTTTCAAAGTCTCTCTGATGTACTGTATTTTGAACAGTAAGCTACTGTTCAAGAAGGCACACCTGAAAAATAAATTAATGGTAGTTTTGCACGAGTAGGGAAGCCCCTCATAGAATTTGTAAAAGAGACAATGGCATTTCACGCTGATTTGGAAATTACTTCTGGGGGTATAGCTTCATAATAAGAGTTGTTGGGTGTTGGAAATGTCTTTTGAAGATGACCTTAAAAAGCATGCTAAGTGTTTCTCAAGTTATCTATGGTCAAGGACCATTTTTTTTTCTTTAATTTCTTACTTGTTGCTGACTGATACTTTTGTAAAATATAATAAAACATGAATTATTAGCAAAAACGTGTTAAAGAAAAAGATCTATAAAATAGAAGCCAAACTTTGACAGACAAAATTACTTTGCCTAATTGCTCTGAAAGTTTATAAAGCATTCTCTCAGTTTCTGGAACAAATGGTTTGTAGTGTGACACTGGCCATGAACCAAACTTTGAATGGCACTGCTGCAAGTGCTTTTGTTGTAAAAGTTACAAATATACATATACAGGATGGATGAAAAAGTGATTTTTCCTAGCATCATGAAAATTGTGGCAAGGGGAAGAGAATGGTTGTTAGTTATGCTTTAGATCAGAGGTTAGTGAACCCATGGCCCATGGGCCACATCTATCTGCTTTGTAAATAAATTTTTATTAGAAAACAGTTGTACCCGTTCATCTGTGTTTTGTCTATAGCAGACTTGGGTAGTTTTGACTAAGACTGTATGATCTGCAAAGCCTAAAATATTTATTATGAGGTCTTTTGCAGAAGAGTTTGCCAATTCCTATTTTAGATTTGAAAATGACAGTTAAGAATGATTGCTACTTGTATAGTGCTTGTTTTTTTTCTGATTATATTATCTTTGTTTAAATGCATTAGACATGTTGTTTGACTTTTTTTCTCTAGTCACTGATGTACCTCAGATAAATTTGGAGAGAAGTAAAGAAAAGGAATGGAACCATAAAGATAAAATAAAGAAGAGGAAAAAAAAGCAAAAAGATGGTCAACCCAACTATTTCCTATCCATTCCGATCACCAACAAAGAGGTGCTACTTTTTAAAAAAATTATTTTTACTAAGTTTATTCTAAATTATATTTAAGGTACACTAAATGCTCATAAGCCCATTTGCTCTCAGCTTTTAAGAGTCTTTGGTGGCATTTTTAGTTGGGCCACACAGGGAATATAGAATATGTATAAACAGTAATTTTAAAAAACACTATTTAGGGCTTCCCTGGAGGTGCAGTGGTTGAGAGTCCACCTGCCGATGCAGGGGACATGGGTTCGTGCCCCGGTCCAGGAAGATGCCACGGAGCAGCTGGGCCCGTGAGCCATGGCTGCTGAGCCTGCGCGTCCGGAGCCTGTGCTCCGCAATGGGAGAGGCCACAACAGTGAGAGGCCCGCGTACCGCAAACAAAAACAAACAAATACTATTTAAACAATCATATTTAAACAATAATTTTGCAAAAGCCACTTGAAAAAGTGTTGCCAGGTAGCATGTCAAGCTCCTTTCTAAGTGTTTGTTCATCATAGTGGAGGAATCTTTCAGAAGCAGAGAGCTGGTAAAAAAAGATTCTGAAATCTCTGTGGGAAAAGTAAACTGGGATTTCCTGCTGCTTAGTCCAGTTCATGGTAATGATTATTGCAACGTAGTTTCTTTAAAAATTACTCATTGTTGTACCAACTTAATAGTGCATGACAAACTCGGTAGAAATCTATTAAAAGTCTGAAAAATTAATGTGGCATCGGTAATAGGAAATGGGACCAGCCAACTGGCCCACACTAAGAAACCCTTATATGTGACTGAGAGAGAAAACTGCAGTATCTAAGACCTCTAGAGCAGTGAGTTAGGAATTAAAAATGCCTTAGGAAAGAACACCTTATTCGGATGACTGACTGTTTTTATATCTTGGCCCAATTTCATATATCTTAAGAGCTAGATCTGAATTTCTGTTTGATTGTGGGCTCTGATCTCTTAACTGGGCATGTTTTCAGGTTGCTTTTCCCTTTATTTAACTAAAATGTTTCTACACAATGCTAGTGAATTTTTAAAGATCAAAGCAAATGAAATTGAAATCAAAGAAATAAATATCAAAGAAAAAAATAAATTCTTTTAGGACACTCTAGGAAGTATCTAGTCTGTGAGATACAGTTTAGTTGGGGAGAGAAACACATAAAAAGAGAAATGGTATTACCTAGCAATACAGGATTTTAGAATTTGATACAGTAAAGAATCAGACTTTGGTTTTACGGGTACGTAGTGGCGGGTTAACAGTAAAATAGCCCTTAAAAGTGTTTAGCTGATGCAAAGTTTAATGCAATCAGAAATTATGTATTAAAATACTTGTGAGTTATTTGGACAGGTTTTCTTTGAGATTTAGGATCACGTGTACCTATGGGAATGAGAAGAGAGCAGGAAGCCACAGGTGGTGCTATTTAAGCAAGCAGTCAGACGGAGGCCAGGTCCTGAGGAAACTGCCTGTGAAACAGGCCATGTGATGTCCCCAAGGGCACATGATTTCTGATTGGAAGAGACGCCAGTTTCCTTCTTTTGATTTCTTGCTTAGAGATTGTTTCACTCCAGCGTCTGTGAGTGTAGAAGTTGGGTGAGCCCTTCTCTAAGTTGCTTTGCTGAGGTCCTTCCTTTCCTCTTGCTCCCTGCCTGCCTCTGTTCTTGGCCCTGCTGGTCAGAGCAGCAGCTCTGCAACCCCTCTGAGCCTGCCCCAGCCGCTTCCAGCCCTGTGCCGGCTTCCCGCCTCCTCCATTGAAGACTGGTGGGGTGATGTGCTGGGATAGGGCTGGCAGGGAAGGGGACCAAGGGGAAAGAGGGTGGAGAGATTCTTTTCTTCTGCTACTTATTTCAGGATTCAGGCTGCAAAGATGAGAGGAGGGGATGAGAGAACTGTTTGCAACCCTTAGTTCTCACCCCGCAGGCTGCTTTGTTTCACCCTGTAACCTTTGTTTCTGCTTCTCAACTTCTTGGAGGTTCTGTAGAAAGTGAGGAGAGTACAGGCTTTGGAACCTGACAGACCTTGTTCGGATACCAGCTGGATTACAAACTGCACTGTGGATGTAGGTCAGGTTACTTAATTGCTGTAGTTTCGGTGTCTTCAGTTGTTAAATGGAGGTGATAATGATTATTTTCTAAATCCAAATCTGGACACATCCCCTACATGCTTATCACTTCAGTATTTTCCCATTGTTGTTAGGATGAAGACAGAGGCTTTACCATATTCTAGAAGGTTCTACATGGCTTGGCCTTTTCCACCTCAGCCCTCGTTCCTTCTGCTTGAGCCCCTCTGGCCTTGCTTGAACTTGCCAGTTTCCCTCTGCCCTCTGGAAAGCCTTCTCTGGCTGGGAGTTTACTTTCCTCTCCTTTTGATTTTGTTAATGCCAAAATCTCAGCTCAAACCTCTCCCACCCGTGACCACCCTGACTAGGGCAACCCCTTCCCCCCAAAAAAAAAACCAAAAAAACCCCAACAAAACACAACACTTTCATGGCTTTCCTTTTGTCATTTGTCATCCTTGAAATTTGACACTTGTTAATCTTCCTCACAAAGTTTTTCAGGTCGTTCCCAGTACCTAGAACGGAGTTTGGCAAGAGTAGGTGCACACACACAAAATATTGTCATTTCGGGGTGGAAGGTGTGTTTCTGGCATACCAAATTCCAACCAGAACGTTTATAAATAATAAGTACAGTGTTACAAATGCTGGTTTTATAATATAGGTTCAATGGCACTTTGTTTTCCAGGGGGTAGGGTGACTTGTAATAGTGGGGCACACAAGCTTCAAGTAACCTGGAAACCAAAGAATTTAATATTTCCCTCTCAAGAGACTTATTTGTGGGTAACAGAAAGCTTAATGCAAATATGGGGAGGAGGGCTAGGAATAGGACAAGATTAGGAGATACTTTTTTTTTTTTTGCGGTATGTGGGCCTCTCACTGCTGTGGCCTCTCCCGTTGTGGAGCACAGGCTTCGGACTCGCAGGCTCAGCAGCCATGGCTCACGGGCCCAGCCGCTCCGCTGCATGTGGGATCTTCGCCGACCGGGGCACAAACCCGTGTCTCCTGCATCGGCAGGTGGATTCTCAACCACTGCGCCACCAGGGAAGCCCAGGAGATACTTTTCATATCTTTCGTATGAGCACCTTTTTTGTTTGTTTGTTTGAAAGTATCGAATGTTAATTTTCTGTTGAAACTACTTATGGGCTTTTGTGGGAAGGCCTGGGAAAAGGAGCAGCATTTATAACATTATTTCAATGGGAGACTGTATTCCAAGTTCCAATTAAGTGACCTGCAAACAAGCTTTTGGAAGCCAGCACATTGACAATGAGCTGCTCTACTTTTGGCCTCTACTTGTTGGCACCTAGTTTTAAAGAAAAAAGTATTCAGACTTATAAGGGTCTTTGATTTTTAAACACGTTATTAGACATTTGGAATGCTTTAGTTTTGGAAAATCATGATTTTCATATTTTTAAGAAATAGAATTGGAAAATGAATTAGAATGACTGCATAAAAATATGCTAATTGCATGCATGTGAAAGTATGTTTCTCCACTACCTGCAATTACACATTAGTTTAAAAATAAAAAGATGAGAAATTTAATGGCATTATAATAAATCCTAAATATTTCTTAACTGGCTAGAATTGCTTAATTATTAGTTCTGGGTGGATTTGCCCATATGTTGGTTTTGTATGCTTTCTTACGAGAGGTAATAATTTAAGGTAAGTCAACACCGAAAAATGCAAGGGAACAATCAGAAGCTGATTGAAATTAGGAGTGTATTAATTTTTTTGGTAAGATAATTGTTTTATACTAATGGAAAAATATGATGCTCTTTAGGGGTTTTAAAAGGCATTTGCTACATTTAATTCTGTATTTCATCATTTTGTAATGTGAAAATTATTGGTCTTACGAAAAGATGAAAAATGATTTGTGCATTCTGTTCCTTTCTGGGAAATGTAGTTGTGAAAATACTTGATATCATCATGTATGTTAAAATACAGAAAATTCTCCTATTTTAGGATGTTTTAAAAATTTTTACTTATTGCTGTATCATTAAATTTTCAAGTTTTTTCCTTTGTGTAAACAATCAAGAAAAATGACTATATTCAGTTTTGAAGAAAAGTTAGGTAGCAAATTGTTGGGATAATTCTGTTAAATCTTAATGAGGCAGCAAATTTAGGAATAATTTATGTTAACAGCTTAGAAAAAATCCAAAAATAATGTCAAAAGATGAGGTCAAGGACATTCTCCTTCTGTGTGCTAGACTATAACTGCTCTCCCTCACGAACTAACTTGAAGGCTTTTTCTTTGAGCTCATGTATGGTTTGAATCAACTAGAAAGCTTAAAAGATAGAAAAATGAAATTTCTTCTTGTGTCATTTTTAGGCATGTGAAACATGGCTTAGTGGTGAGGTTTAGCAGATTCGTGTCTGTTTTTATTCTCTAAATACAAAAACTACTCAATGAATGAAATATTTAAGATTTTAATAAGCTTTTATTTTTTAAAGTTTCTTTTAATATTCTAGTTAAATATGGCTCTACAATATTAGGTATAAAAAATGTGCATTGTGCAATACTGCCAGTGGCTGGGGATTATGATGACAGATACGCTTTAAAGGCTTTGTAGAATTTTAAACAGGGACTGTAAAAATTAGTTTCCTTCGGCCTTTAATGACATTGGTACTTTAAAAAAAATTTATTTTTGACTGCGTTGGGTCTTTGTTGCTGTGCAGGGGCTTTTCTCTAGTTGCGGTGAGCGAGGGCTACTCTTCATTGTGGTGTGCGGGCTTCTCATTGGGTGGCTTCTCTTGTTGCAGAGCATGGGCTCTAGGCGCGCGGGCTTCAGTAGTTGTGGCAGTTGGGCTCAGTAGTTGTGGCAGACGGGCTTAGTTGTTCCACGGCATGTGGGATCGTCCCGGACCAGGGCTTGAACCCATGTCCTCTGCAGTGGCAGGCAGATGCTTAACCACTGTGCCACCAGGGAAGCCCGACACTGGTACCTTTTAAAATGGCATACAGAGAAGACTCTGAAGTAGTTTCGTTTTTTCTTTTTATCTTTTAAGAATATAATTAGTAATAAAATGCATTAAAATTTTTTTAAAGATGATATCAAGGAATATGTAAATTGATCTGGAGCATCAAAGCATAGTTAGAAATACATTACTTGATTAGATTATCTTTAGAATTTTCATAGATTAAGGTTATTTTTGCATTATAAGTACTGTATGACTTCAGAGCAATAGTCTTCAAAGTGTTTTACAAATTTTAATTTGCAGTTTTACAAGCTACTGGATAATTCAAAGATATGAATGGTCTAAAACTTTTTCACTAAATAGTAGGACATTGCACTAAAATGCGGAATATACAAATGGATGGAAATTTTTGAGCATTGTCCTGAATTTACATATAATTAGTATTTGAGCTTAGAATGAAGACTCAGTTTTTATGGAAATGCAGATACTCTACCACTAAGTGCAAGTGGCAAACCCCAGGTGTGACAATGAAAATGTCTTCAGGCATTGACAGATGTCCCCTGGGGTAGAGAACCACTGATTTTAATAATAGTGGCAGTGTTGCAGACCTTATATTAGGCAAATGGTGCAGAGCTTGCAAAGTGCTTTCCTGTAGCTTGTCTGCGTGACCTTTAACACATCCCTTTAAGTTTGGCAGTGCTTTACAATTGAAGAAACCAAGACTCACTGAGACTAGGTGACCTCTATGGGGTTCCACCCGCGGCAGACCTGGGGAAAAATCCAGGATTTCTGATACAAGTCCAGTACCTTTAATTTGCATCACTCTGTATTAAAAAGTTATCATCCTAAACCACTTTTTCACGATCAGTTAAGCCAGAATTACCATTTGTACCAGCTAAGATTTGAAGATGTAGTTATACTGTTTTGAGGTCTGATATTCTTGATCTCGTGTGATTTACTCGGCACTGGCTAGGCCCTTCCGACGTGAACCTGGATCGTCTTGAGCTGCTTCATCATTCCTGAAAGCTGATCTCAGCACTTCATTGCACCTGGAAAAATCTGTCAAAAATTCATGTGTAAAATCCTCGCAGAGTGGTGTAGACTTATACTAAAGGCTTTTATGAGAGGGCCTGTGTGCTCTATTACACAGGATCCAGTAAACTTCCTCAGAATCTCCTTTAAATGCCCTTTTTTCCCTTGATGTTTCATGTCTTGAGTCACTACCCACATGTCTGCCCCTCTCCTTGTCTCCTCTTGAAAACACATTACCTGTACCTCTTCCTGCACAGCTCTCTGGCCGCTTCTCCTCACTCCTGGATCTTTTCCTCCAGGTACTTCCCTCATCTTTTCTCATGTATTGTAATTTATCCTTTTCTCAAATTCCTTTGCTATTTTGGGTATATGATCTTGAAAAGATTTTTTTAATCTTCTGTGTTTCAGTTTATTTTAATGGAGACAGTACCAACATCTTACCTCACAGGATCGGCGGGAGGCTTCCGTGAACTAATATGTAAAATGCTCACTCTAGTGCCTAGAGCCTAGTGACCACACAAGAAAGGGTAGTTACTGTTGTGGTCTCAGTGTTGTGTTTATTTTTATTATCAGGCACTGTGGCGAGATGGAGGGGTGGAAGAAATAGATGTTGCCCTCGGGGAGTTTACAATTTAGTTTTATCAATATAGAGGTAGAGGAAACGCTGACTCTGTAAGATCTTTGTGTACTATTGCTTTAGGAGCATTTTAATTATCAGGCTGTCAGTATTCTTTTGTTGGGTGTTGTGGAAGTGACATCTTCCCTTGGGAAGTCTTGTGTTAGGTGTTACTGCATAACTTCCTACCAGGAAAACACTGTTTCTCATTTTACTGTCCTCCAGGTTGCAAGGAATAGAGAAACGCTGAGGTTATTTTGGGTGATGTGGATTTACTGTAAAGATACGTGAGAAGTCAGATCCCAGGATAGTATCTCATGATTTGCCCAATTGCATTCTGCAGATAATGGGAACATTGTTCAGGATGAAACAGCTTCTTTAGTATCAGAACAGCCTGCTGTGCTCATGACTCAGTTGTTTCTTATCTCTGCTGTCTCTTTAGGGCTCTGCTTCTGTTGCCAGCCCCCTCTCTCTTCCTTTTCTCTCTAATTCTGCTGCCTCTGGGCTTCTACGTGGGCCCTTTTCTCTGGGGATTGCTTGGTTTGCTAGTCCATATTCAAACTATTTTCCAGTGCGCTCACATTTAGAAGTTGACTAGAGTTGTCTCCAACTGGAAATGGAGGAGGGAAAAGCCACCATTCCTCTTCTTTGTTCTCATTAGGTTGAGAGGGGAAGGCTGATGAGGGACCAGGGATTTTGCTTAGGTGCGGACTGTACAGTTTTTCTAACATACTCATTTAGACTCGTTTGCAGCTCTCTCTCCATGGTGATGCCCCTCCTCACATGTCTGGGGAAATGACAGTTGTCATTCCTGTTGAAATTATTGCTGTCCTAAAAAATCTTAAAGGCCATGAAGAATGGGTTCTCAGACACATTCACTTGGGGACAAATAAATATTACTGCCAACAGAAATGGAATGTTGTCTGCCAGTTTGACCTTTCTGTGGCAAGAACAAAACTTTTATTTTTAGGAAAGATCATAATTATAGTGAGTCATACTGTATATTCCAAGGATACATTTCTGAAAAGATACATGGCCATTAAGAATTTTTCCACGCAACCAGTGGCGCAGTCTGTAAAAGAAGGGTGTTGGGCTTGATGCTTTTTAAATGGACAAGCATTGTGTGATTTTTTTTTTTTTAACTTAAACGTCCTATTAAACTTTCCAAGTCATTTCTCCAGGATATTTGAGAATAGTTAGACAATTAAGCATTGTTTGGCTGAAGGATCTTGACATCATTCTCATTTCATATGTTGCTTATTTTTCTTCTCGATTTCAGTGTTACCATAAGGAAATTTTGCTTACCTAATCTCTGTTTTGTCTGTGTGTGATTAGATTACAAAAGAAATTAAGATCCTGCAAAATGCAATAATACAACAAGATCAGCGACTGGCCAAAGCAATGAACAGAGATGGTTCCTTTCATATTACCCTGCTAGTGATGCAGTTATTAAATGAAGATGAAATAAACATGTGAGTAATACATCTTTCTGGAATATTGTTTTCCAAGTTATTACTGTAATGTGAGTAATCATAGCAGAACCAAAAGAGGCATTGAAATTCTAAAGAAGTATTCTTTTTTTTTAAGAAGTATTCTTTTATAATTTGTTCCAGTTAATAAGCCAATGTACAGAATTAGCCATATAAATATTCTTCCTGATCTACACTTTTTTTTGGGGCTGTGCTGCTGCGTGGTGTGCAAGATCCTAGTTCCCTGACCAGGGATCGAACCTGTGCCCCCTGCATGGAAGAGCAGAGCCCTAACCACTGGACCACCAGGGAATTCCCCTTAATCTATACTTTTAAACTGTTATTGTTATCAGATGCATTGGTTATGCAGTTATTTTATCTGTGTTAACTATGTAAGCACTCTGGAGTCTGACCATTTAGGTTAGGATTCCAGGTAAAGATTCTGGAACCGTGGCCCAACCATGTCTTAACAGCTGCCCAATTTTGGGCAAATCATTTACTTTTTAAATAAATGGAGAAAATAATAGTACTAATACATGTAAGAACTCTTAGTATAGGGCCTGGCACATAGCAGGCCCTTGATATTATTAGCTATTAGAGCTGTCATTTACTAGAGTAACGGACAATTTCAGTTTTACTGCCTTCATTCTTAGAGTACCTGTACACCCTGAACCTCCAAACCCAGAGCTGTACCATAAAAGTTGAGTATTAGTCATTGATTGCTGCTTTCCAGCCTGGAGTGGAGAAACCTTGCTCTTCCTCAAATTCTCTGGGATACTCTGTCTGTCGGTATGAGCACCCCTTGCCCTGTTTAGCCCTCTGGATTAAGCTTAAGCATAAGCTCTTTGGAAAGTCAAAACCAGAATTACAGGTTACTTCTGTTTTCTCCCCTGACATAGTCTCCTGAGGGAATGAAGAGCAAGGCTTGGATTGGGAAGGGGGCGACGAAAAGGAAAAATAGAAGGGAGAAAACAATAAATTAGTAACTCAAAATATACAGTCAAATTATGATTCGGGTAGTGATGTCTTTTTAAATAGTTAGAACTGCATGTCTTTAAGGATCAGTCTTCTGATCTCTCTCAACATGATCTACCCAAGAGCAGGTCTTGAGCACGCTGCAGTGACAGAGAGGACCAGAAGATTTTACTTAACTCATTTTCACTGTTCACTTTGCCAATCAGAAGAAAAAAGAAATACTCTGATGCTCTTAGAAGAAAAGCCAGAGAAGATGTGACACAAGATGAAAGCCTGAGAGAAAATGAGTGGTCCCCTGTGTGTTAGAATGGTGGACTAGTCAGGGTTCCCCAGAGAAACAGAACCAATAGGATGGATATCCATTTGGATATCCAGATACATGGATATATCTGTATCTACAGCTGTAGCTATATAGAGAGAGATTGCTTTTAAGGAATTAGCTCACATGACTGTGGGGGCTAAAGTCCACACTCTGCAAGGCAGCCTGGCAAGCGGGAGACCCAGGCGAGGGTTGACAGTATAGGCTCGAGCCCAAAGGCGGCCTGGAGGAAGAATTCCTTCTTCCTTGGGGGACCTCAGTCTTTTCTCGTAAGGCCTGCAACTGACTGGATGAAGCCCATCCACATTCTGCTTTACTCAGGGTCTACTGATTTAAATGTTCATCACATCTAAAAGAACTCCTTCACAACAACATCTAGACTGGCGTTTGACCAAACACTAGGTATCGTGGCCTCAGTTGACGAACAAAATTAACCCACACAAATGGCAGGAGCAGGAGCAAATACTGAGCTGGTCTCACGGATGGCAAGTAAGAGATGCTGAACCAGTGATTAATTCAGAAGAACTGCATGTGGTCAGTGAAACCACAGCCAGCTGGGAGGAGGGTTGTCGTCCAGGATGGGAAGGGAATCTAGAGGCCTTCTGGTGCCGAGCGGAGTGAGCAAATCAGAGGAAGAGGCACGAAGCCAGACACATCCTGGCTCCCCTTTTGGGGTTGAGTGTTCCAGCCAGTGTTGGAGCAGAGAACTGGGAGTGATAGAGACACTCACCTTGGTTTGGGGTTCTCAGGGTGTAGCTGGGAAAAGCTCAGCTCCTTAGAGAAGTTCCTGTTGAGTAATGCTGAAAGAATGTGCTGCCGAGTCGAGGGAGATTTCTAACACCTGCACCTGAGGTGGTTCCTTCAATTCCCCATTGCCTATCAAGGTATATAGATGGATCCAGAAATTTCTTTGTGCCCTGGTGGGTAGACTTGGAAGGTCAGAGAGAATTGGTGGATCAGAAGGCACAGGATGGGGGACAGTGACACTGCTGAACATCCGTGTTTCTTTTCTTTTCTTTTTTTTTTTTTGGGCAGTACGCGGGCCTCTCACTGCTGTGGCCTCTCCCGTTGCGGAGCACAGGCTCTGGACGTGCAGGCTCAGCGGCCATGGCTCCCGCTCCTTAGCATGTGGGATCTTCCCAGACCGGGGCACGAGCCCGTGTCCCCTGCATCGGCAGGTGGACTCTCAACCACTGCGCCACCAGGGAAGCCCTATCCGTGTTTCTTGATCAGAGACCCCAGCAGGGATCTTGTGCTTCAGCAGCACATGCCAGTGCAATGCCCAGAAAGAACCGGTGGGCTTTCACGGACACGAGTGTAGGGCACCCAGGGATATGACCAGACCAGTCGCCCTGAAATAGGAATCTCTTAGGACCCAAACAGCAAGCAGATCAAAGAGCTTTTTCAGTCCTCTTATAAGAGTATGCTGGATTCCCTGGGAAGGGGAAGGGAAAAACAATCCTGAAAGGACGTTTGAATTAACTGAATAATTGTACCCCAAAGAGACCTTTTTAAACCAGAGGAGACTGTTACCATTGATTGGTAAGTTTAGGGTTTATCTCTCTTATCGGAGATGGGTCTTGGCTATGGCATGTATATATATTTCAGTCTCTGTTCCTCAGCCACGATTCCCCAAACAAATGTTATTTTATTTTATTTCCTTAACAAGTGTTCTGAGTCGGGCAGCACAGAAGTGTCACCTTTTTTATACATTGGAGGAAACTGGCAGTCCTAGGAATTAAGCGAATGCGGGTCAGTAGACAAGCCAGAACTAATCAGTTTTCTATGATTATTCCATAGAGTGTGATTGTGAAAGATGCAGAGGTAGAGGGAGAGGAGTGGGATGGGGACAGGAGGGAGAAGATGAGCACAAGTGCATGAAGGGCGGGAGAGATTAGTCTGCTGGAAGTACAGACGGCCTCCTGTATCTCAGTAGCCTCTACTGATGGACACGTAACTGACTAGAAATACTGTTAAGTGGTGTGCAGTCGGGTTGGGGTGAGGGGGTGGGTATGTTCTCAATGTATTATAATGTTTACATTTCTCAGTGGAGGTGGGACTCCCTTCTCTAGGAGACTTTTTTTTTTTTTAACGTCTTTTTTGGAGTATAATTGCTTTACAATGTTGTGTGTGTTTCTGCTATATAACAAAGTGAATCAGCTGTATGTATACATATATCCCCATATCCCCTCCCTCATGCACCTCCCTCCCACCCTCCCTATCCCACCCCTCTAGGTGGTCACAAAGCACTGAGCTGATCTCCCTGTGTGATGCAGCTGCTTCCAACTGGCTATCTATTTTACATTTGGTAGTGTATATATGTCCATACTACTCTCTCACTTTGTCCCAGCTTACCCTTCCCCTTCCCTGTGTCCTCAAGTTCATTCTGTATGTCTGCGTCTTTATTCCTGTCCTGCCCCTAGGTTCATCAGAACCATTTTTTTTTTAGGTTCCACATATATATGTTAGCATACGGTATTTGTTTTGCTCTTTCTGACTTCACTCTGTATGACAGTCTCTAGGTCCATCTACCTCACTACAAATAACTCAATTTCATTTCTTTTTATGGCTGAGCAATATTCCATTGCATATGTGTGCCACATGTTCTTTATCCATTCATCTGTTGATGGGCACGTAGATTGCTTCCACATCCTGGCTATTGTAAATAGTGCTGCAGTGAACATTGTGGTACATGCTTCTTTTTGAATTATGGTTTTCTCAGGGTATATGCCCAGTAGTGGGATTGCTGGGTTATATGGTAGTTCTATTTTTAGTTTTTTAAGGAACCTCCATACTGTTCTCTATAGTGGCTGTATCAATTTACATTCCCACCAACAGTGCAAGAGGGTTCCCTTTTCTCCACACCCACTCCAGCATTTATTGTTAGTAGATTTTTTGATGATGGCCATTCTGACCGGTGTGAGGTGATACCTCATTGTGGTTTTGATTTGTATTTCTCTAATGATTAATGATGTTGAACATCCTTTCGTGTGTTTGTTGGCAATCTGTATATCTTCTTTGGAGAAATGTTTGTTTAGGTCTTCTGCCCATTTTTGGATTGGGTTGTTTGATTTTTTGATATTGAGCTGCATGAACTGCTTGCTTATTTTGGAGATTAATCCTTTGTCAGTTGCTTTGTTTGCAAATATTTTCTCCCATTCTGAGGGTTGTCTTTTCATCTTGTTTATGTTTTCCTTTGCTGCACAAAAGCTTTTGTTTCATTAGGTCCCATTTGTTTATTTTTGTTTTTATTTCCATTTCTCTAGGAGGTGGGTCAGAAGGGATCTTGCTGTGATGTATGTCATAGAGTGTTCTGCCTATGTTTTCCTTTAAGAGTTTGGTAGTGTCTGGCCTTACATTTATGTCTTTAATCCATTTTGAGTTTATTTTTGTGTATTGTGTTAGGAAGTGTTCTAATTTCATTTTTTGACCTGTAGCTGTCCAGTTTTCCCAGCACCACTTATTGAAGAGGCTGTCTTTTCTCCATTGTATATTCTTGCCTCCTTTATCAAAGATAAGGTGACCATATGTGCATGGGTTTATCTCTGGGCTTTCTGTCCTGTTCCATTGATCTATAATTCTGTTTCTGTGCCAGTACCATACTGTCTTGATTAGTGTAGCTTTGTAGTATGGTCTGAAGTCACGGAGCCTAATTCCTCCAGCTCCATTTTATTGGCATATAGTTGCTTGTAGTAATCTCTCATGATCC